CTCTGTGGAACTCTTGTGTTCCTGGCTGGCCTCTTATTTTTTTAATTACTTTAATTATTTTATATTGCTTGCATATATGTAAATGATCATGTGTGTGTGGTGCCCATGGAGATCAGAAGAGGATGTTGACTCCCCTGGGACTGGAGTTGCAGGTGCCTGTGAGCCACCGTGTGTGTTCTGGGAATTGAATCCAGACCATCTGCAACAGCCGCAGGTGCCCTGAACCCTGAGCAATGTCTGTGACCCTGTCCTCCTAGCTTCTTATTTTCAAGTCGTTTCATTTCCCTATGTGTCTCTGTGTGTACAGATGTACACACACCTATACTGGTGGTCATGTCAGGGAAGCATCAGTTGACTTCAGCGGATCAATGTCTGTTCCTACTGCTGTGCCTTTACATGTCTGCTGCTACCATTCTTCTCTGGTATTTGGCATGATGTGAATTGACGTGGGGAGATTCCCATGGACCTTAATATAGTGTAATTATCTCCTGAAAATATCCCATTCTACTGGGCATTTTTACTGGAGGATTATTATGAAGATGATTTTCTCCTAAGCTATACTGTTTAACTGAAGCAACGATTTTAGTGTATAAAATAGGATTTTTGATGAGGGGGGGTCTTTAAGAAATATAATAAGGGATTATGAGAGAGGTTAGTCTAGTGGGAAAATTAATATAGGAAAAGATAGAATAAAGTGTTGCCCCTGTGCTGTCTGATAATACTTCTGTATGCTATAAACTTGTATGTGTTTCTCTCATTGGTCAATAAAGAAGCTGCTTTGGCCTACAGCTAGGCAGAAAAAAGCCAGACTGGGAAGCCTAATGGAAAAACAGGGAAAAAGAAGGGCAGAGTCAGGGAGAGATGTGAGCCAGCCACCAGAGAAGCAAGATGCTTGAAAACAGATAAAGCTGCAAAGCCACGAGGCAAAGTATAGATTAATAAAAATGGGTTAAATAGTTATCCCTGGGGCATGAACTAGCTTTTTGGAGCCTATTCCCTATGGAGGGATACCTTACTCAGCCTAGATACAGGGAGGAGGGCCTTGGTCTTGCCTCAAGTGATGTGACAGACTTTGTTGACTCCCCATGGGAGGCCTCACCCTCTCTGAGGAGGGGATGGGATGGGGTGGGGGGAAGGTGGGAGGAGAGGGAGAAAAGGAGGGAGAAGGAAATGGGATTGGTATGTAAAATAAAAAAGATTGCTTAAAAATAAATAGAAGCAAAAAATAGAAATGGGTTAATTTAAGTTGTAAGAACTAGTTAGTAATAAGCCTGAGTTATAAGCCAAACAATTTGCAACTAACATTAAGCTTCTGAGTGACTATGTGAACTATTGCTGTCACAGGCTGCCATGACCAACAGCGACTTGGGAAGGAACGGCTTTGCTTCAGTTCATAACTTCAGTTCACACTGCAGCTCTGAGGGAAGTCAGGGCAGGAGTTCAAGGCAGGAACTGAAGAGAGGCCATGGGGGAGTGCAGCTTACTACCTTACTCCGCATTGCCTTCTCAGTCTGCGCTCCTGCACACTCCAGGACCCACCTGCCCAGGGATGTGTATAGTGGGCTCGGCCTCTCTACATCAGTCATTAATCAAGAAAATGGACTACAGACATGCCTACAGGCAACCTGATGGAAGCATTTTCTCAGTTCAGGAGGCTCTTCCCACATAAGTCTAGCTTGTGTCAAGGCAACAGAAAAATAAAATAAAAAAATTAAAGAACAACCAGGTAACCAGATTAACCACCATATCTGGTGTGTGTTGTTGTTGTTGTTTTGGTTTAGGTTTTTTTAATTATTTGTTTATGTGAATTGTTATTGTTGTTGTTGTTTGAGACAGGATTTCTCTGTGTAGCCCTGGCTGTCCTAGAAGTAGCTCTGAAGATCAGACTGGTCTCAAACTCAGAGATCTGCTGCCTGTGCCTCTCGGGTGCTGCCCAGCCATGCCTGGTTTCATGTGATTCTAGAGACTGAACCCAAACCCTATACATGCTAGTCAAGTACTCTCCCTACTGAACTGTATCCCTGGCCCTAATTTTATTTTTTTGATTTGGTGACCTGTTCTATTTATTTTTAGTTGCTGTGATGAAACGTTGGCCAAACCAACTTGCAGGGTGGAAAGGATTTATTTGAGTTACATGTCCCAATCACTGCCCAACATTTAGGAAAGTCAGGACAGAAACTCAAGTAGGACCAGAGCTGGGAACTCTGCAGGAACGCGGCTTGCTGGATGACTTCCCAGGCCACATCCGCCCTTTCTTATATCTCACAGGACCTTCCCCTGTCTTATGCCTCACAGTCCCACAATGGGCTGGGCCCTTCCACATCAATCGAGAAGGTGACACACGGATATTGCCTCCTGAGCTGGAGGCATCTCCTCGGTTCAGCTTCTCTCCTTCTAGAAGACTATTGAGGCCAGTTGACAAACACTATTCAGAACATTTCTCAAAGGCTCCTGTGTTGCAAGCAGGCTTGCTCCCAAGCCAGAAGTGCTATATATACAAGGAAGGTGGGAGCTGTCTGAGGAAGAACCCAATAGGTGGAAATTAGGTATTCCACCTTTTTAGTGCTATGCCCCTGAGGGGAGCATTGAGTCCTCAGCTCCTGTTCTTTCTGTCAGCCACTGTGAGAAGCTTGCTATGCCATAGTCCCCCGCCATTAGTCTCTGCTTGGTCATAGACCCTAAACCAATAAAAGCTGCTCACGGTGGCCTAAGACTTCTGAAGGGGTGAGCCAAAATAAACATATATCCTGATATATATACTTTACTACAGTAACAGAAGGGCTGAGCTGACTGTATTAGTTACTTTTCTCCTGGTGACAAAAAAAAAAAATTGTCAAAAAGAGCTTAGGGAAAGACTGGACTTGGGGTTGGGCCTGCAGGGAACCAATGCAGTCCTGAATGTGTGTGGTGTTGATAGAACACAGCCTCATCAAGGACCCCAAGGCCTCAGACTCATGGAAATGGCGAGGGTCAGAGGGATGGCGAAGCCTTCCCCTGCTCCAAACATGAGTACTGACTAACTATTAAACTGTAGCTAAAACCAGTGTGTGCAGAAACTGCCAACCACAGGCTTCCTTCCTTGAGAGGTGGATGTTTACCCTCCCAAACCGCCCCTGTAGAAATGCCCAGACCGAGACCAGCTAACCCCTCCTCCTCGTGCTGTGCGTCATAAATGCTCTGCCCCCTCGTGGTGGAAAGAGAACTGGCTCGTATAAATTGTCCTCTGACCTTCGCAGATGTGTCACGGCAGACGAGACGCGAGTGCGCGCGCACACACACACACACAAGAAAAAAATGTAATAAAGAAAATTAAATAAAAACTACAAAACCCTCCTATAGCCATACCTAGCTGTGTTTTCCAGTAGATACCTGGGTGATGTTATTCAATTAAGTTAACACAGAAAACACACAATCGCCTTTCAGTGGGAGAGGAAGCATGGTTTTTCCACTATGGTTGGAAGGGGGCTGATTTTTACAAGGCTACATTTCCCAAGAGTCCCTTCTTTTTAATTTTTAACATTTTTTTTATACTCATTCTCTGGGGATTTCACATCATGCACCCCAATCCCACTAATTTCTCAGTCCTTCCGTATCTGCCCTTGTAACTTCCTCCCCAAAAGTAGATAAGAAAATAAGTAACATCTCTCCGACCCCTCTGGGCACGACCTGCTCCTGGATCAACTGCAGTTTTCTCTCAACTCCATCACAGTTGTGGCGTCTCCAGTTCCACTGTCCATGTATCCTTCCACCCCTCCATCGTTCCTGCCTCCCCTTCGTAGCTGAAGGATTTCCATGACTCAGCACAACAGCAGGTTTTCTATCTGAGAGGAGTCTCATCGGGGTCCAGTACTGACGGTGTAGCAGAAGCCAGGCCTTGAACTCTTTGTAGGGAACATTTGGAAGTAAAGTTGTTTGGGCCAAAGAGTCTACTGCATGGCACGCTGCAGCTTCCGATGCCGCTATGACCAACGAATATGTGAAGGGACCCTTCTTTAAGAGTTCCTTTTCTAGCTTGGGATGATTGATGTTTTTCAGGGTAAGTTTTTGTAAGGGAGGGAAGGAGGGGGGAGGGGGAGGGGAGAGAAGGAAGCCGGAGGAGTAAGTAAAAGGAACACCCAAGAAGAGAGACTGCCTGAGGGATTTGGCACACTTCCAATCCAATCTTGCCTCAAAGTTGTGTGGACCCCTTCTAAAATAAATAAATAAATAAATATAATATATAATCTTTTTGAAACAAATTCTACCACATATCCCCGACTGGCCTTGTAACTGTAATACTCTTCATGGCTTCAAAAATTATCTGGGCCACAATACTTAATGAGCATCTATGACACCAGCCCAGGCCAAGCTCTGCCCACACTCCCTGCACTTCCTTTGCTCATGGCCCCTTTTAGCCTGACCTTTACCCCTATGCTTTCCCGAGGACCTTTGACACCTCAGCCTCCAGATGAGCTTAATCTATAGACTCTGATCCCGTTGGTTCCAGCAGAGCTGCATTATTTGTTAAAGCCCTGGGAGTCTTCGGTCAACCTAGGACCTGGGGTGCAAGAAGGAAGAAACTGATCTCTGCCAGGCTGTGCCACTGGTGGGCGAGGGCGGGGCGGGGGCGGCATTTCGGAGCCTCCTGGTTCTGCACTGAGAGATGCTGCACGCTCTCATCCCAGCCAGCTGTGCAGAGGAACTAGGGAGACGCTCTCCAATAGGCCTGGCTTGAATCTGATACGGTGGACCCTGAACTTTGGTGTTTATGTTTTTATCGGCCAACCCTTGGCCTTGGGAGGGCAGGTACAGTTGTAAACTTGGAGTCTCAAGGTGCTTCTGTCCCTGGTTGAGACAGAAAGGGTTGAAACCTCAGGATTCCCTAGGCTGCCCGAGCCCGTGACTCTCAGTCTGTTTATGGCTGGACCCGCCCCACTCGCCTTGGCCAACTGCCAAGGCCCTGGTTGCAGCTGGGCCTGCTAGGGATTGGCTGGCTCAGTTCAGCCCCAGTTCCCCACGCAGCTTAGCTTCCGGCAGGTCAGACGCCAGGGACAAAGACGGTTCAGAGAAGACAGGAGGTTCTGGAAGAATCGCTGCTCTTGAAAGAAGGTGCCAGGCTGGGAGGCAGCAAAAACGGCTCTGGCCCTGAACAGGGAGAACTCTGCCCAGGGCTGGGAGGGATGCAAGGTGTCTGCTGGCCTTGGAGACTTCTGGTTTCCTGGTCGTTGTACCCAGGGCCTGTGCTTCAGGCTGAGCTATTCTACAAGGCAAACAGTTCCTGTCTGCTGTCCCCCCCCCACCCTCCTGTTGTTCCTCTTCTCTCTCACCGTGTGGTCCTTGCTTTTCTTCCTACTCTGCCCCCAAGTCATTCCAGTCTACATGGCTAGAACCCTCTCCTGGGCCTCAGAAGCTCACTCTCTGCCTATCTGCCCTGCAGGATGCTACAGCTGAGCCTGTCCTGGCTGGGACTGGGGTCCACGGCTGCCTTTCCATGGCATCTGCTGTTGCTGGGTGGGACCTCCTGGATTCTGGCCCGAATTCTGGCCTGCATCTATGTCTTCTATGACAACTGCTGCCGCCTTCGTTGCTTCCCTCAGCCTCCTAAACCAAACTGGTTTTGGGGTCATTTGGGCATGGTGAGTGTGGCAGAAGGTGGGTCTCGGGGTGTCAGGATAGATGTGTTCCCAAGGAGTGAGGTCTGGAACACAGGACTTTTGAGAAGTGAGGGAGGGCCTAGGGAGCACCTCTCTCCTCAATCCCAGCATCCCCTTGGCTCCTATCCACTCCAAGCTCTGAGGCCCTTCTCTCGCTCTCCCTTCCCTACCCCCAGTCTACCTTAGGTCACATTATGACCAGGACTCATGGTCTGAGGTCTCTTTTATATAAATAAATATATATGTATATTTATATATTTGTACGAATCTGTCCTGCATAGGAGCTCCCAGGGAGAGGAGCTCGCAGCGTGGACATACCTGGTCCACTCAGTTTCCACTGATGGACTTGAGGCAGCGGTGCCAAAAGCCTGGCCGCTGCCTGGCCCATCCTTGCCCTTAGGCCAGTGTCTGTACCTCTCTGAACTGCCATTTGCCCTTTAATAATAAGCTACAATCCCCCTGTGTCCACTTCCAGGGACTCTGAGGGGTGCGGAAGAGAGATGTGAACTCTCTCTTCAACTCCGCAGGCCCTGTTCTTTCTGATCTTCCCCTCCCTTCTCAGGATGTGTCAGTGGACTCCATTGTCCACCCTGAGCACTTTGCTTTTGCGGTACTGGGATGAAGCAAGCCGCCTGCCGCTGGTGCATCACAGCCTGACTGTTCATTTTCACCAAGTACCACACTGGCCTCTCCCATAACAGCTGCCCTTCCTGAGAGGGCTCCTTCCTCAGCATGTCCCCTCGCTCCCAGCACTCCTTGCTCCATGCTGCACTGTGACTGTTGCAGAGTCACACATTTCTGTATCATCTGTAATTATGGGCACCATCTCCAAGGTCGTTGATTCACATGGTGCTTTCTCTCTGTACAGACAAATCTCCTTCCAAAATCCTTCTTCGCCCTTGTCTTTCCAGGCTTCCCCAGGACCCCCTTCCTTTCTGCACTGCAGTCCAGCTGCTTCCTTCCAATCCTCCTAAGTTGAGTCCTGTAGAAGAACAAAACCGGAAATATATGTATATACACACACACACACGATATATACATACACACACATACATGCATGCATACATGGATATACATACATACACACATGCATATACATACACATATACACACATATACACATACATACACACATACACACATATACATATACACACATACATATACATATAATACATATACACACGTACATGTATACATACATGTTACATGTGTACATATACACATGCATATATACATGTGCACATACATATGAGTGCATATACATACACACACACACATGTGCATGCATATATACATAAACACACACATGATTTGCTAGAGTGGTTCCCAACCAACAATGGCTATCCATACACTGGAGAGAACACAACAGTTACATGTCTATAAAACTGAAGGCCTCCGCAGTCCCAGTCTCATGCTCAAAGATCTGAAAGTCTCATAGAATATTTCTGCTCTTCAGTTCATAAGGGAAGGTCCAAGAAGCAGAAGTTAATGTCATTAAAGATGGATGCACTCATGTGCAAGAGGCAAAAGGCAGGCAGGCAGGCAACATTTTTTTCCTCAAACATTTTTTAATAATTTATTTTTATTTTATGTGCATTGGTGTTTTGCCTGCTTGTATGTCTGTGTGAGGGTGTCGTTCCCCTAGAACTGGAGTTACAGTTGTGAGCCTCTGTGTGGTTGCTGGAAATTGAACCCAGGTCTTCTGAAAGACAGTCAGTGCTCTTAACCACTGAGCCAATTCTCTAGCCCTCCCTCTAGCCCCTCTTCAAATATTTTTATATTCAGGCTATCCATTAGAAAGTGCCACCCACTCAAGATCTTCTTTCCTCAATTTGTGTGTGTGTGTGTGTGTGTGTGTGTGTGTGTGTGTGTGTGCTTTCTGGAAACATCTTCACAGACTCACCTTGAGGTTTGCCTCTTAGTTTCAGATCTTATCATATTTACAATCAAGATTAAATATCACAAGTTCACTCCTTGTTATCTTGATTCCAACTGTATATCCTTCTGTCATGGTGAATTTACCTAAAACAATACAATAATAAAGTCATAATTCCACGTGCTGTAACTACCCTACACACAGCCAATGATACGTTAATTCTTTCCCCTCCCCCAAACAGGTGGGAAAACCTCTTGAGGAATACGTAGCCTTTTAGTAGAGTCTCTAAGGTAAAAACGATAGTACAGGTTTGCAATACTTAAGTACTGATATTTCTTTTCTTGGTTTTTGTTTGTTTGTTTGTTTGTGGTTTTTGAGGCACAGGTTCTCTTTGTGTAGCCCTAGCTGTCCTGGAACTTGCTCTGTAGACCAGACTGGCCTCAAACTCAGAGATCCACCTGCCTCTGTCTCCCAAGAGCTGGGATTATAGGTGTATGCCACCACTGCCTGGCTATAAATCTGTTCTTCACAAAGCAAGAAAGACCTACTCATAACAATTGTAATCCTTGATTTTTTTTTACTTGTGACACAACATTGGTTATGTTTTAAAAGATTTATTTTTAATTATATGTGGGAGGGAACATGCATGCATCCAGGGGCCTGCAGAGTCCAGCAGAGGGTGTCGGATCTAGAACAAGAGTTACAGAGGGGTGGAAGGGGCATAACATAGCTGTCTTGTTAGGAGGCAGAAGACAGGATTAACTATTGTGCTCCACTTCCTGAGCATATCTGACTTAAGTTCCCAGCAGGACTCATGGTCTGCAATCTCCTGCCCATTAGGTTTTCCTTTATCAATATTTAGAAATCTTTACCTTGGATGAATTCAGCCAGCCATAGTTTTCCAGGTCTTCTTCACAGCAATGTTGGAGAATACAATAAAACTGGAAACTCCCCCATCCATGACCCAGCTCCAGCATGTCTCCTTCTGTACGAAACCTCCCATCTGCTTGCTCTGTCATCTCCTTGTGGACAGAGTCACCTTCACTGGTTGTCTCTTGTTCCCTCCCTACTCTTGTGATTCCCTGAATGGCAGCCCCATGTCATCTCTCTCCCCATCGCTCTCCATGGCAATGACGTCTCCATCCTTCCAGGAGTCTCTTTTCTTGGTTCTGAGAGACATCCACACTGCTCTCTCCTGAGCTCTCTGCAGGTCCCTCTGTGTCTGCTGCTGGTTTCTCCTTTCCCTGACATTTTCACATAGAGTTCGCTGAAACCTAACCCTTCCTCCCTCTTCTCAAGTTCCCAAGGCTGCCCCCTTGCCTGGGGGTCCAGCTCCTAAGCTGGCCATCAATTCCTTCTTGAAACGAGGTCTAAGTTCACATCCTTTCTGAGCTAGGGATCAGGATTGGAGCTGCCACCAAGTTTTTACTGCAGTACAGGAAGGCACCTGGTGGCAGGAGGGTGTGTTGGGGTTGGAATAAAATCAACCATGAGAGCACTTGGAATGGCAACAAGAGATAAGGTGTTGAATGTGGCGGTGGGAAGAGATGAATTGGGAAGAATTCAGTGGAAAGAATTCGATAGAAACAAAACAACAGACAAGTAGTAGAAAATGCATACATACATTATTTTTAATTAATAATTTACTAAGTGAAACGTCTTCCAATAACATTTTCATACGTACTTCATTTTGGTTAATTCTCCCCCACCTCCCCACTGTACTCTTTTACTCTTCCCACTTGGTTCTGTTGTCTTCCCCATTCCCTCCACTAAAGCCTTTTTCCCACTCTCATGGGCAGGCCTCTTTCCAGTTTCCCAGCCTTTTCTCATATTTACTCCTATGTAAGCACATTTATTTAGTAGTGAAAAGCTAGCATACACAGAGAACACACAGTATTTATCTGAGCCTGGGCTACTTCACCTAATACAGTGTTTCTCAGATTCATTTCCCAGCAAATTGTGTAGCTGAATAAAATTTTGTTGTGTGTATTCCACATTTTCATTAGCCAGTCATATGTTGATGAGCATCTAAGCTGGTTTGTAGCAACAGGCCACTTGTTCAACTCAGCTGCCGAGAACCAAAATAATCACACAGAAACTGTATTAATTAAATCACTGCTTGGCTCATTAGCTCTAGCTTCTTATTGACTAACTATTACATATTAATTTAACCCATTTCTATCAATCTGTGTATCGCCTCGTGGTAGTGGCTTACCAGGTAAAGTTCCATCTGGCACCAGCAGGGGTACATGGCTTTTCTCTGACTCTGCCCTTCTTTCTCCCAGCATTCAGTTTAGTTTTCCCTGCCCACCTTTATTCCCTGTGCAGGCTCAGAACAGTTTCTTTATTAACCAATGGTATTCACAGCATACAGAGGGAAATCCCACATCACTGGTTCCATTTCCTTGCTATTGTGAAAAAGACCAAAGATGAAAATGGATGAGCAAGTGTTCCTCTAACAGACTATAGAGTCCTTTGGGTACATGCCCAGGAGTGATATAGTTTTATCATAGGGCACTTCTATCTTTAGTTTCTGAAAAAAAAAAGTCCACATTGATTTACACAGTGGATACATTAGTTTATAATTGTGCCAGTGGATATGGGTTCTTGTTCTTCTACAATCTCGCCGGCATTTATTCTCACAATTTTTCTTTTTTCTTTATTTGTATGGTGTTTTGTTTGTACACTGCACATGTACAGTCCTCCAGAGCCCAGAACAGGACATTGGATACCCTTGAACTGGAGTCGCAGGCATTTTGATCCACCATGTGGGTGCTGGGAATTGAACCAGGTGCTTTGGGAGGGCAGCCAGTACTCTAAACCACTGAGTCATCCCTTCAACTCTAGTTGCTTATTTTTTTGGTGGTAGCCATTCTGACAAGGTTGAGGTAGAATCTCAAAGTGAATTTCTTTGGTGAACAGAAGCATTTAAAAAATACTTTAAGATGTTTACTGGCAATTTTCATTTCTTATTTTGAGAGCTGTCCAGTTTGTTGACCCATTTATTGATCAGCAGAGAGTGGGGTATTTAACTTTTTTAAGTTTATATATTTTAGATATTAATTCCTTGACTCCTATAAAAAAGATAGCTAGCAAATATCTTTTCAAGTTCTGTGCACCATCTGTGCACTATGTCAATAGTTTTTGCTTTTGTTTTTTTGTTTTTTGGGGTTTGTTTTTTTTTTTTTTTTTTGCTCTATAGAACTTTTTACCTTCATGTAACCTAATTTTTCAGTTCTTGGGAATGTTTCTTTTTCTTTCTTTCTTTTTCTTTTTTCTGAGACAGGGTTTCTCTGTGAAGCTTTGGAGCCTGTCCTGGAACTCACTCTGTAGACCAGGCTGGCCTCAGACTCACAGAGATTCTCCTGCCTCTGCTTCCCGAGTGCTAGGATTAAAATGTGACACCACTGCCCAGTGGGGATGTTTCTTGTACTTCTAGGGTTCCATCAGAAATTTCTTATACCTGCATTATCTGAATTTCGGTTCTAGATACTATATTTTAGCCCTTTACCATTTACCCATCACATGTCCTTGTAACATCTTTGTTATCTATCAAGTGTCATATCTATAAATCATTTGTGTGTATTTTCCTATTGATTCATCAAGCCACTGTTTAAGGTAAGAAACATAAAAATGGAGAGAGTGAGATGTTGGAAAGAGGCATGTTGATTGAAAGTTGAATATTGTAAGAGAAATTTGGATGAACTTGGGGTGGCTCAACAAAAACCATAGATTAGTGATGCTAGTGGAAGGAGTGAGAGAGGTTGGGAGTGGTTGGCAGAGACTGGGAGGGCACCCTTCCAGGACTACCCTCTGATTTCTCATTTCCTAGATGAAGAGCAACGAGGAAGGCATGCAGTTTGCAGCACAATTGGGCCACTACTTCCGTGACATCCACCTCTGCTGGGTTGGGCCTGTCTACCCTGTCCTGAGGCTCATCCACCCGAAGTTCATTGCTCCTCTGCTCCAGGCCTCAGGTATCTCTCCCAGGATCCCAAGCCCTGGCCTCCTCCCTGTTTCTTCTCCCAGTCCTCCTCACACATACACAGACCAAGCTGAGCAGGGGGTGAAGCCATAGGCAACAGATGCCATGACTCTGCCACCGGTCTTCTGGATGACTGTGGACCGGGTCCTGGATCTCCTGGGGTGTTGAGGTCTGTCTAAGTTGTGAGTGATGGACGTCCAATCTTATCCAAAAAAGGGAATCTACTGTCTGGGGGTGTAGCTCAGAGGCAGAGCACTTACCTGCCATGTGTAAGACCTGAGGTCGCATGTGTAGCACAGAAGAGGAAAGTAAAGGATTCTACTGTTGTTGGCGTCAAGGAGGGAGGATCTTCAAGATCTTCAAGTACAACTATGCAAGGGTGGTAAACAACGGCTCCAGGAACCTTCATTTCTTAGCTCTGTTTTTGTGGTGGTTTCCTAGATAACTCTTAGAAACTCAGCACCCTTCAGAAAATCCATGTAGTACTGGACAGTGTTCTGGCCGCCTTCCGATTGATTTTGGTGGTAGGACCGGCTACTTCCTCTAATCACTGTGACTTGATCACCGAGACTCTGGGCAGCTTGGCCACCTTTCCAAACAGTGGCATCAAGATGGGGAAGGTGTGATGAGGTTCTTGATCTGAGAGAACAGAAATGTGGAGGCAGACACCACAAGTTGTCCATCTATTACAGAACACTGAAGCTATTTCTGTTCATCAGTGCAAACGATGAAGGTGCGCAGAGTTGCTTGTTTGAGTTGCTCTTTCCTCGGGTACCTGGTGACCTGAGGAGGCACCGGCTTAACATGCTTGGTTAGATGCTTTTCTATTGCTGGGTTAAAACACTATGACCAGGACGACTTACAGAAAGAGGGCTTTATTTTGGGCTCACGGTTCCAGAGGGATGGGGCTGTGATGGCGACACTGCGGAAGTACAGCAGCAGGCCGGCACGGTGACCGATGCTGAAAACTGAGCGCTGTCACGTCACACCACTAACAAGAAGCAGAGAGAGAAAACTGGGGGTGGTGAGAGTCTTGTACCCCCAGTGGCTCCCTTCCTCCAGCAACGACACATCTAACTTTACCTGCCCCCAACAGTGTCACCAACTGGGAACCAAGAATTCTAGTGCCTAAGATATGAGGGACATTTCACATACAACACCGCCTTGCTAAAAAGCTGAATGTGGTGGTGTATGCACTTGAATTCCCTGTACGGGGCAGGTCGATCCTGGAGCACACTGGCTAGCTAGCCCTGTTAAATTGTTGGACCCTAGATCCCAGTGAGAGACTTCGTCTCAAAAACAAAAGCAAATAAACAAACAAAAATCCAAGGTAGTTGCCTCCTGAAGAATAACTCCTGAGGTTGACTTTGGCCTCCACACACAGACACCATCCCCCACCCCCACAGATACATCTCTCAAGCAAGCAGCTTACATAGGGAAGGAGAGAAACAAGACAGTCAATATTTCCAGATCTCAGGGTTGCCCCTTTGGCCTGGGGTTCAGGGTATTAAACCCTGTATAGCTAGGCCAGATATTCACTTGGATGTTGAGTTTTGTTAGTGTCTGTGGTCTGTGTTGCATTCTTTTTTACTGTTGCCTAGGCTGAGAGCAGTTACTTCAGAATAAACAAGCCATCGACTGTGTGTATGTACAGATCTACTTACAATGTGTAGATTTTTTCCCCTCAATATGGAGTGAAAATATTTCCTTATAATATAAAATATAACGTTCCCCTAACCAACCCTTTTATTTGTACCACTTTTCACTACTATTAAAAATTTTAACATCTTACCTGGGTGGCAGTGGCGCACACCTCTAGTCCCAGCACTCAGCAGGCAGAAGCAGGTGAATCTCTGAGTCTGAGGCCAGACTGGTCTACAAAGTGAGTTCCAAGACAGCCAGGGCTCCACAGTGAAACCCTGTCTCAAAAAAACAAAACAAACAAAAGTCCCACCAAGTAGTTTGTGCTGCCCATATATTCTTGACTGGAGAATGGTCCCCGGAGGCCATCATCTGGCCAAGGTGCAGAGGAAGAGGACTGAGGAATAACCTGCCCTAGGAGACAGCTACATTACATCTCTTTCTCCCAAGGCTCAGGGGTCATTGCAGAACAGAGAGCAGAATGGAAGAGGCAGGGGATGGTTGTAAGAAACACTGTTTTTTCAGACACGGCAGGGCATTTGCACAGATGGACTCACAGCATTTGTGACACCTTTCATATGTGCAAGATCAAACTGAACAAAATCCCAGCATGCAGAGGGGTGAAGAGGGGAGGTGGTCACAAAGTCCCACCCTAGCCGAGGAGCTACTGCTGACTGATAGCTGCCGAGAGTTAGGGGGATCAGTCTTCTTTTTTATTTTTGATTTTTTTTTTTTCTGCGTAACAGCTTTGGCTGTCCTGAAACTCTTTTTATAGACCAAGTAGTCTGGCCTCAAAGTCACAGAGATCTGCTTGCCTCTGCCTCCCAAATGCTGGAATTAAAGTCGTGGGTAACCACTGCCCAGCTAGAACCTTTCTGAAGAGTGGTTGTAAATTTGTTTATTTAGACAGCTTCTCAAACAGCCTGACCGGCTTCTTTTTAGTAAAGATAACCTTGAGCTCCTGATGCTACTACTTCCAGCTCCTGAATGCTGAGATTACAAGTGTTCACAGCCACACTTGCGTTATGTGGTTAAAGGGCTGGACCTTGGGCTCCGCGCATGTTAGGCAAGCATTCGATCATATGACCTATACCCCAGCCCCTGATTATGAATTTTAAATTTTATAAAAACTAGAACTGTGGGAAACAAAAGAATTAGAGTAGTCCTGGTTAGAGTTTTAATATATATAAAAATATATATTCACAGTCAGAAAAATCTAGTTATTTTCTGCTAGAACTTATAACTTTCTGTTTATCTTAAAATAAACTTGCCTGTAAAGTTGGAAACAGAGTTGCAGAGATGGCTCACTGGTGAGAAGCACTCACTGCTCTTGCAGAGGACCTGACCAATACCCAGCACCCACATCAGGCAGCGCACAACTGCCCGTAACTCCAGATCCAAGGGATCTGATGCCCCCTTCTGGCCTCTGTGAGCACCTGCACACATGTGGCACACACACACACACACACACACACACACACACACACACACAAATAAAAATAACAAATATTCTTTTTTGTTAAGAAATTGTAAATAGATACTTTTAGATAAGCCTTGAATTTAACTCAGTTTTCTAAGTAGTTAAGAGCCTGACAAAGTTAATAGAAAACTTACCTTGATTAAACATAATTTTTTGTGTTTTTAAGTTGGTTTTATAAATGTTACAAAGAACAAATCAGTATCTTTAGAGAACCTCATTGATTTATATTGTGTGATGTTCACTTAGGTGCCAGAGCAGAGAGAAAAGCTCACCAAGGTGCTAAGCTTTCATTCTCTGAAGGAGCAGAGGGGTTCTGCCTTCTTTGAAAAGACCGACACCCAGCTAGCTCACTCCAGTTACTTTATTCAAACATATACAAGGTTAATAGGAGCTGGGAAAGGTTCCAACTACCAACATTATCTTGCTCTTGTTGCTCGTGAGAGCAGGCAACCCACACACGTTTCAGGCTTGATCAAAAGAAAGAGCTCCAGCTCTTAGCACCAAGATCAGTGCAGTTGAGAGCGCTCAGGTGGCACAAGCGCAGACTCTCCAGAACAACATCTCTTCAAGGTTCAAACAGTCTCAGAACAATTCCTCAGCCTCTAATGATTTAACCCAAACATACATAGGCTTTGCTGAAACATTCCTCTCAGTGCCTACAACGGCTTTGCTATACATTTCCCTTAAAGCCAGATACGGAGCCTTAATTTACCTACCATTACAGATTTAACCAGAGAGCTAGATTCTAGTTCTACATTCATATATTGAAGTTTGACCTCAGGAATCCTAATAACTTTCAATCACCATACCCTACTATCATTAAAGAAGATTATTTTCTACAACCCCTATGTGATTTGCTCAGATCTTCTGTGATGTGTTTAATTCCCCTGGTTTTATCTTTTACCGTTTTGAGAAAATCCAGTCATTTTATCTTCAGGCAAAATCTTATTTTACCATGCAAAAAGTATTTTCTTTCGAAATACTTTTTAAATTTTCTTACCAAAATATGCATTTCTATTTTCTCTTGTGCTTCTATCTCCCACTAAACTGTTTTTGTGGTCGTTTCGTTTTGTAGTTTTATTTCTTTTCTCGGTATCACGAGACCCAGCAATGTAACAAACAGATTTATCAGCTTCTTAGGAAACTATTCAATCCAAATCACATTTATGACATAATGTAACAGATTAAGGTCACTCACCCACATTTTATTGAGCTATAAAGTTCCTGGCTGTGCAAGACCCAAGCAGATGTCATTGCTACTCCATTCTTTTTAAAGTCTGTTCTACACGTTTTTCCTTTGTCTCACTCATGTCTGAGGCTTACAGAATCTTACATTCGAGCAGAGGCTCGCAAGCTAGCAAAGCCTTCAATAGGGAACCGTATTGTCTAAGCAAGAAAGCATAAGGGAGGGGACCGAAAATCTTTATGCCAACCCTGTAATTTCAGCATGAGATACAAAAGGCATCTGCTACCCTGAAAACTGTGGGAGACGGAGAGCAAATACCTGGCTTTTTACTGAAGAAATGAAAGGCAGTGGGCATCCTGTAGTGCAGACTGGGCTGTTGGGTCTGCCCACAACAGGTCGTACTCAGAAAGTTCGTGTATTCATTCTAAAATGTGACATATAAAATAGAGGCTGTAAATCTGCCACTCATTCATAATCAGAGTCGCTCAGGCCAGATTAAATTTTATTGCAAACTGTTAAAGATACAAAATGATGCATAGAAACGATTACCTTAGGATGGATGAGGTAACTTGGTGACTAAAAAGGCTTATTGCACAATCCTGATGACCTAGTTTGACCCCGGCACCCACTAACAGTAAAATATCAAAACTGACTGTACAGATTTGTCCTCTGACCTCCATGCGGCTGTCACGCATGCACACACCCACGCATCACACACTACTCACGCACTCACAATAAAAATAAAATAAATTTTGTAAACAATTCCACTAATTCAAAGCACACTATTTAATGGAAACAAGGCAGAGAATTTACATCTCTTGCACAGAACTTCCTGAAATGAAAGCAAAATAGTGAGACTGCAAACTCATTATGTGTACTTAAGGTAATATCTTTCCCTTTGTTGGCTAAATAACTATAATTGTAAAGTAGTATATGATAATGAGAGAAACAGCTAATGGCCACCACCAACCCCCGGAATGTAATACATACAGTGGTCATAACTTTTACAATAAAATATTATTTTTATTTTCTTATAAGATAGCAAACTTAATCAGGCCAGTTGTCTGGATGCTCCTCCCTGGGTGGTTCCCACCGGGAGTGGGGTCTGTGTAACCCATTACAGCAGACAGAATTGTGAAGTAGATCAAGACAATAGAACAGAACAGTGCCTTTCAACCAGATGCCTCATGGGAGAGGGACGAAACTGCGCTAGAGCACACTTTTAAACCAGAAGCCAAGCGAGCTGTAACCTGGGAACAAAGCTGGAAGCACAGCGGTTCACTTCACTAAGTGACAGTGACAAGGAGTGCCGGAGCTGGGACAGCGTCTAGGCCGTCATTGAGGTTTCTGACGAGTCAGTGTCTACCTGGAGAGTCCTAAGCCATCCAGGTAGAACTACCAGAGGAGGTAACCAGAACACTGAGGTTCATACCGCCTTTCAACGTGAATGCCGATGATTGGAAATTATAATTTAATCTTTAAGTTGTACTTTATTCAGAGAGCCTGCAAGCAGAGAAGGCAGGGATTCCTAATGTTGTAAAAACAAACAAATGCTGGGCAGTGGTGGCGCACACCTTTAATCTCAGCACTCGGGAGGCAGAGGCAGGCGGATCTCTGTGAGTTCGAGGTCAGCCTGGTCTACAAGAGCTAGTTCCAGGACAGGCTCCAAAGCTACAGAGAAACCCTGTCTCGAAAAACCAAAAATAAACAAACAAACAAACAAATAAATAAATACAAAACCTGCCTCACAGCTCAGCTCCAACCATCACACTGTATAACAGGAGTAGGGAGCTGACGGAGAACGAAAGACCTCCTACCAGAGTTCAGCCTTTCTCCTCGGCCGCATGCTCGGTCGTTCCCCTGGGGCTCATGATGGCGATACTGCCTTCCTTGCCATGCCCTACACTTCTCCCTTGGTGTTCAGCTTGGAAACCCAGACGTTTCCAAGGATGTGACAAAGGCTCAGGGCCAAGGACTTCCCATCCTCAAAGATACCACAGGATGCTTGCCCATGTGCCCTCCACTTAGAGCTGCCACTGCCTCCTCCAGCCCCAGGGTCAATGAGACAGAGCTGGAGCCATCGAAGTATGGTGGAGCTTCCCCTGCCATGCTCTGCACGCTGTCTTCCTCTCAATCACCCTCTAGCTTGGCGTCTTTTCCATCTCAGCTGTTTAGAACAATGAGGAGTCACTGAATAATAGTGAGTCCTTCATGTGCCATTGTCTTCTCTTAGCCTCAGCCTCCTCCTTCAAGAATTCTCCGTCTTGCCAGAATGCTATTGAATGTGATGTGTAGAAAGGAGCTGCGGACAGGCCTGCTTTTCATCCTGCCCGGCTCCCGCACAGCTAGCTTAGCCCCAGAAATAATAACACACAAGTTGTATTCATTTAAATACTGCCTGGCCCATTATCTCTAGAGAGTTAGTTACTGACTAACTCTCATATCTTGATATTAACCCATTTCTAATAATCTTGTGGTAGCACCACGAGGTAGTGGCTTACCGGAAAAGATTCAGCATGTCTGACCTGGTGGCTAGCTCCATGGCGTCTGGCTCATAGCCCTCTTCCCAGCATTCTGTTCTGTTTACTCCGCCTACCTAATTTTCTGTCCTATCAAGGGGCCAAGGCAGTCTCTTTATTGACCAATGAAAATAACACAATAGACAGATAACCCTCCTCCATCAGTGATGGGGAATGCCTGGGATATATCTAAGTCACATTGGGGACATTAATAGGACTGTATTTAAATCTTGTCTGCGATGTATCCAAAAGCACAATTTGATCATGCCAGACTAGTTTGTGATGTGTCAAGGAAGACCATGTGTGTGGGGTCCAAGACAGGCCGTGATAACACATGTGATAATACACGTGATAACACATATGTCATGTGTCCAAGTATGTGTCAGTGAGATCAGAGAGCTGTAACAGTCACTGTGTCCCAGGTCTCTGTGAAAGCTCGCAGAGTGTTGTGCTGTGTTCAGATGTGGAAGATTTGTCAGACAACGTAGGAGCCGCATGAAGGCGTGATGGGCACATGTGCCATGTTAAGCTGACCTTTACTCTACCTGTTCTACAGCCTGGTCTGGTCCCTTCCTGTGCTCCCACCCCTGCCCTGCATCTTTATTTACTTTGTCTTCATCCCCTTCTTGTCCTGCTGAGCTTGAAGGGGAAATGCACAGCCCTTGCTGAGAGTCCCCACCCCTCCTAAAGTCCATTGCCGACCTTTGCCATGGGCCCTGATTTTCTCCTTTGTGTCAGCTGCTGTTGCACCCAAGGAAATGACTCACTATGGCCTCCTGAAGCCCTGGCTGGGTGAGTACCTCAAGGCGAGGGGCAGGGGACTCCCTTGAGGATTAAAGGGAGGCACTACCCTTGCCTATTGTCATGGTTGCCCTACCAGGTGATGGGCTCCTGCTGAGTTCAGGTGACAAGTGGAGCCACCACCGCCGCCTGCTGACACCCGCCTTCCACTTTGACATCCTGAAGCCCTATGTGAAGATTTTTAACAAGAGTGTGAACATCATGCACGTGAGTTTCTTGAGCACAGGGTCCCACTAGAGCCTTGTAGAAAGCAGTTTGCTTTCAGATGTAATCGGCAGGTGTGCGTACCACAAAATTCCCTTTCCAAAGCTTAGTTTTCTTTTTCGGTTTTTCGAGGCAGGGTTTCTCTGTGTTGCCTTGGCTATCCTGGGACGTGCTCTGTGGACCAGGCTGGCCAGGAACTCCCCCCCCCCCCCCGCCTCTGCCTTGTGAGCGCTGGGATTAAAGGGGTGCGGCACCACTGCTGGCAATAATGGGGAACTAATAATCCATTCTTAAAGGGTAGCCAAAGTGACACCATGGAGTCATGCTCCTAGCCTATGAAAGGGGCTGAGAAGGAGCTGTATCTACTTACGGTCACAGCACATTCATGCTGGCTATTGCTCAGTAGGTCTTTCTACAAACTACACTGCAACAGGCTTTTTCTTTTAGGCCCCCAAGCAGCTCCCTCATCACGACACAGAGACTTATTGTTAGTTTTGAAACTTGTCATAGCTTTGACACTTTTCTGGCTAGCTCCTTTAACTTAATCTGTTTCTCTATATCCACCTTTTGCCTTGGCCTTTCTTGCTTCTGTGTATCTTACTTTCAATGCTTTTGTATGTCTGACTGGCTGGTGTCTGCTGCCTTCTTACCCTAGGCATCCCTCTTGTTCTCTCCTCCTTCTCATGTTCCTTTCGAGCCTAGATTTCTCCTCCTATTTATTCTCTCTCCCTGCCAGCCCTACCTGTCCGTTTCTCCTGCCCAGCTATTGGCCATTCAGCTCTTTATCTTGCAGGCAAGGTGAAGCAAATGCAACACATCTTTTCATAATTAAACAAATGCAGCACAAGCACGCGTAACACATCCTTGCATCATTAAACAAATGTAGCATAAACAGATGCAACACATCTTTACACAGTTAGAGTAATATCCAGCCACATAAACAAGTGTAGTGCATCTTTGCCTATTTAAAATAACATTCTACAACAACATACCACTCTAAACTCACTGGCCTTAAGAGTCTACACAGTGACACATATCTTTATCCCAGCACTAGGAAGACTGGGGCAGAAGTATAGTGAGTTCATGGCTATATAGCAAGACCTGTGTCAAAACAACCAGTTCTTGTGCTAGATGGTCTTCTGAGCATGCACAAAGCCCTGGTTTCCATCCCAGCATAAAAAAAAAAAATAGAAAACATGGTTTGGGGGAATGTTTTTGTGTATGTGTGTTTTGGGTTGGGTTTTTGTTGTTGTTATTTTGGGTTTTGGGTTTTTTTCTGCTTTTTTCAGGGGCAGTTTTAGACAGGGTCTCTCTATATATCTCTGGCTGTCCTAGAACTCACTGTGTAGGCCAGGCTGGCCTCGAACTCACTAAAATCTGCCTGCCTTCTGCCTCCCAAGTGTTGAGATTAAAGGTGTGTACCAGCATGCCTGGCTAAATAAAAGAAAAAAATAACAACCTCACAGGCTGTTCCTTAAGGGAGTCTGGGTTTTCTAGCATGGAGAGATAGGGTTCTGAGAGAGAGAACGAGGAGAAAAGCTCAGTAACTCTCCAAGCTTAGCATCAGAGAGAGCACACCATCATTTTTAAAACACTCCTCAGGTCAGAACAAACAAGTCCTGAGTTCATCTCAGATTGAAGACATGGAGAAACAGGCCTACATCCCAATGGAAATGCTTCTAGGACTTGTTGCAAAGACTGAGGTTAGAGGAATTTCTGGACCTCCTGCCACTATGCTAACAAAGATGGCGATGACGACAGACATTTATTGATCGCCTACTAGCTACAGAAATACTATGGCAGCTCCATGATCTAAGTCATCTGATATAATTTCCACACTGTTCTAAGGTAGAGATCACTATGACTACGACATTATGGATGGTGAAACTGGGGGCCAGAGAGGTCAGGGAGCATGTCAAAGTTTACCAGCAGTAAGAGAGTAGAAGCAGTGAAGCCAGATATTTAAGTATAGTTTATGGGGCAAAAAAAAAAAATGAAGTCAATTTAATTATTACTAAAGGTTTAAATGGTGGGACCTAGAAGAGGGTGATAAGCTGAACAAAGGTGCACAGAGGTGGACTCGAACTCAGGGCTCCTTACTTTCCAGACTTGCATGCTTGTCAACACCGCTGTTCTCACCCAAGCCTGGCCTACCCTGGGGTGGAGTGCCCAGGGCCGAAGACCAGAAGGCTGGCTCAGAGCAGGGTGGCGGACTCTCTTTGAGTTTTAGAAGATTTAGTCCATCTCAGTTTACTTCTCTGGCCAGGCCAAGTGGCAGCAGCTGACCACCAAGGGCAGCGCCCATCTGGACATGTTTGAACACATCAGCCTCATGACCTTGGACAGTCTGCAGAAATGCATCTTCAGCTTCGACAGCAACTGTCAGGAGTGAGTCACTGTCTTTGTCTGGGAATCTGAGCTGTGGACCAAGGCAGGAGGTTGGGGATGGAGGGACTGGCCAGAGGGAGAAAAGGTGGGCCATAACTGACATTTAAGGACAGTGAAAAGAAAGAGTGACCCTTCCAGATAGGTGGGGTTCTTTAGATGAAGCAGGGAGCTGGAGACAAGGGTTCCCATTAACAGGCAGTTTAAAATAAGACATCTGAAAATGAAGTTGGGGGGTTCAACTTATTGTTGTTGTTGTGACGAAATACCTGAACAGAACAGCTTAAAGGAGAAGAGATATGTTTGCGCTCCCGGCGTCGGAGGTTTCAGTTCTTCCTGATGGGGAAGGGGGTGGGAGAGCACCTCCCATCATGATGGCAAAGAAGCAAAGAGTGAAGATTGCTTGTGCTTGCAACCAACCTTTTTCCTCCTTCCCCTGCTGTCTTCGTGGGGCCCCAGCCAATGGAATGTGCTGCCCACATGCTGAGCAGGCTTTGACCCACTTAGTCTCCCCTGAAATAGCCCTCTAGGCTCACACAGAAATATGCTTCTTTCAACTCCTCCATGTGTCTTAATCGAGATTAACTGTTCTGCTCCCTGTAAGAAGAAGGGAAGTGGGCACAAAGTCCCACCCTTAGCTAAGAAGCTATTTCCATTGGTACCTTCTGGGAAAGGGACAAATCAGTTTTCTTCAATGGAATGACACTGGGTATATCTACCACACTCCAAGGCAGACCTCATGCTCAGCACAAATCTTTTGTGTGTGTGTGTGTCCTATGGTTTCATTTGGAGGGAGAGAAAAAAAACAAAGTTGGTTGGGTGGGAAGATTCAAGAAGGAATTGGCAGAGGGGAAAGAATATGATCAAAGGTTAAAAAAAATTATTAAAAAAAATATTTAACTGTCACCAGGCAGTGGTAACCAATATTTTTTTTAATTCCAGCACTCAGAAGGCAGAGGCAGGCAGACCTCTGAGTTCCAGGACTGCCAAGTCTACATAGAGAAATCCTGTAAAAAAAAACCCAACCAATCAAACAAAAAAGATTAGCTGATGGAAAATGGTCTTCTTTTTTTCTCCTTTTATTTTCTTTTTTCTTCTCTCTTTTTTTTTATTTTAACTTTTGTGAGTTTGAGATCAAGCTAGGCTACATAAAGCAACTTTTATTTAAAAAAAAAAAGATGAGGGGCTGTAGAGATAGCTCAGAGGTTAAGAGCACTGCCTGCTCTTCCAAACGTCCTGAGTTCAATTCTCAGCAACCACATGGTGACTCACAACCATGACTCTGTAATGAGATCTGGTGTCCTCTTCTGGCCTGCAGGCGTACATGCAGACAGAACACTGTATACATAATAAATAAATAAATCTTGACAGAAAAAATGAAATTTTTCATTTTTAGAAAGGGTCTTACTACGCAACCCAGATTGTCCTGGAGCTCACAATCTTCCTGTCCCTTCTTCCTAAGTGTTGGGTTTGCAGCATGAACACCAGGTCCAGGCGGCAGCTAGATGTTAAGAATGTTGAACGGTCATCCAGAAGGATGAGAAATTCATCGTGAGTTTCCCAGGCAGCCATAGGTATTTAAGATGAGAGTTTATGGTCACAGCTGAGTTTGGATACCAGTTCTTTAGAGGACGGACAGTCAGGATGTAGGATTTGGAGAGGGAAAGGTCTGAGCATGATGTGGAAAACGGGGCAGATCCGCAACAAATCAAGGAGGAGCATCAGAAGAAAGAGAGATGAGGGCAATGCCAATGTCCACTCTGAAATCCCCGGGAAATGGAAGCCTCTGCCTCCCGAGTACTGGGATGAAAGGCATGCGCCACCACCGCCCTGCTAAAGGGGGCAAATCTTAGTCCTGGGTCTTTGCCTGGGCAGGGGCTTTATGTGTCCTAAGAGTTTGCTTTCTCTCTGGCCTGCCCTGCAGGTCTCCCAGTGAATACATTGCTGCCATTTTGGAGCTCAGCTCCCTCATAATGAAACGGCAGCGCCAGCTCTTCCTGCGCATGGACTTCCTGTACTACCTCACTGCTGATGGGCAGCGCTTCCGCAAGGCCTGTGACCTGGTGCACGACTTCACAGATGCTGTCATCAGGGAGAGACGCCGCACCCTCCATAGCCAGGGTGTTGATGAATTCGTGAAGGCCAAGGCTAAGTCTAAGACTTTAGACTTCATTGATGTGCTCTTGCTGGCCAAGGTGGGCTTTTCTGGGGTCTGAGTTGCATGGATCCTAATGTCCAATGTTAGCTAGAAGTTGAATTTAATCTAGAGTTCTAGGGAGGCATAAACAGTGGTTGTAAAAAGGAGAAAAAGGTTAGAGATAAGTTTTAGAGGTGACTGCTGGATGCTGTGTAGAAGAAGCAAAGAACGGTAAGAAGCCAAGGACGAAATTGTTTGGAAGGCCCTGGAGATAATACAAGGGAATCCTGTGCGCACAGTGAGTGTCAGGCCTTGTCTCAAGACAGACTTATTAGTGTTCAGTCACTGTATGAGCTGTGGTCTTGCTTTGTCTACAGGATGAACATGGAGAAGTGCTGTCTGATGAGGACATTCGGGCAGAGGCTGATACCTTCATGTTTGGAGGTGAGGGTCCCCATGTAGGGGTACAGAAAGGTTAGGATCTGTTAGTCCCAGAGGCATCTTTCAGGGGGACACCCAGGATCTCTCCATTCCTTGCATCCACCCGTTCCCCAGCCTTCCTGAGGACCTTGCTGCCTAGACACTGTCCAGCCTGTGGTATGGAAGCAGCCCAGAGACATAAGTTCCTGTTGATCCTGCAGGTCATGATACCACAGCCAGTGGGCTCTCCTGGACCCTGTACAACCTGGCGAGGCACCCGGAATACCAGGAGCGCTGCCGGCAGGAGGTGCGGGAGCTGCTGAGGGACCGTGATCCAGAGGAGATTGAATGGTGAGCACAGGTCCTTGTGATCTGTTCTATAGCCCGTCTCTTTGACTCTGCTCCCCAGACAGGAAAGAGAATCTCCTTTTGTTGATTCTTCCATTATTGCTTGGTGTACATAGAAGCTGAGCTCAGGGACATGGCTAGCAAGAAAAGACTGTATGCTTAGTGACAGAGCTCTCAAAGTCCACATTTAGCCGGGCAGTGGTGGCGCACGCCTTTAATCCCAGCACTCCAGAGGCAGAGGCAGAGGCAGGCGGATCTCTGTGAGTTCGAGGCCAGCCTGGTCTACAGAGTGAGTTCCAGGACAGGCTCCAAAGCTTCACAAAGAAACCCTGTCTCGAACCCCGCCCCCCCAAAAAAAAGCCCACATTTACCACCTCACTAATTTGCTAGTAAAAATTAGCGAACTTTTATAAATCGTCTGAGTGCACTGTAGACAGGGATCCTGATCTGCAGGCAACGGGAAGTGAGCTGCTTTGAGTTTCTGAGACCTCAAAACTCTCAACTCCTTCTCCAACACCATGTCTGCCTGCACACCATCATGCTTCCTATCATGATGATAATGGACTAAACTTCTGAAACTGTAAGCCAGCCCCATTGAAATGTCTTCCTTTATAAGAGATGCCATGGTCATGGTGGCTCTTCATAGCCATAGATACCTTAAGACACTACGGTGACCTCAGATCCATCCTCATGTCCCTTCTTCGGTGCTGGAATTATAAAATCATGTCACCGTGCTCATTCCTAGATGTGTTTTTAAATTGGTCAGTTTGTTGTGGGATATTTCCTATACCTGCCCAGACTGGTACCAAACTGATGGACTCAAGTGATTCTCCTGCTTCAGTCTGCAGAACGGCTGATCTTAACTGATGAAGCAAAAAAATAAAGGAAGCCAAGCTGCTTGATGGCACAGTGAATGAGGCACTCAGAACTTCTTCAGGTTAAGGAGACATCTCTGCTATACCAGAAGGGAAGCGTGCATCAGACAGTTTGACGTGCTTAGGAGTCAGGGAGAGTAATGTGCCTGGATGCTTGGGAAATGCATGTGAAAACCAGGGAGGCTCCTCATGAGACTGGAAATATAACATTTTAAAACTATTAAGAGTTTGAGCTTTCCCAGTGGGTGGTGGCACATACCTTTAATCCCAGCACTCTGGGAGACAGGAGGAGGCAGGCAGATCTCTGTGAGTTTCAGGCCAGCCTGGTCTACAGATTGAGTCCCAGGACAGCCAAGGGTACACAGAGAAACCCTGTCTCAATAAATCAACAAATAACTTGACCTTTAGTCAAAGGTGTGTCCACTGAAAACCTTTGGAAGTCAATGTAAGATCCAAGGTAAACATGAGTCGGAAAGCCTGGAAATTCAGGGTGCAATGTCAGGACTACGGAGACTGCTGCAGATTATAGTGAACTCTGGGCAGACTGAGCTGCAAATAAGACCTTGACTCAAAATGAAAAAAGAAAGAAAGAAAAAGAAAAAAATGTGTACTGTGTTGTTTAGGGCAGCCAGAATATATCATGATTTTATCAAAACATTCCCAACTTAATGAACATTTGCCTAGCTTCCAATCTTTTTCTCTTTTTTACTTATTTATTTATTTATTACTGTGTACTTGTGGGTTGTGCCTTTACCCTCTGAGCCTTCTTGCTGTTCCTTCAGTCTTTTCCTCTAACATAACACAATGTAGCAAGTATATGTGTACTTCAATTCAAATTCCAAGACTTCAATTGCTAAAGTCAGACCTTTGGAATATGAGCTGTTAAACTGCCTATTTAAAAATGCCTTGGGATTCGAGAAGCGGCTCAGCAGCTAAGAGCACTTGCTGTTCTTGCAGAGGACCAGATTTTGGTTCCTAGCACCATGCTGGGTGATTCACAACTGCCTAAAACTCCAACTCTAGGTAATGTGTTGCTTCTCTGTCCTCTGCAGATTCCTTCATACACACACACACACACACACACACACACACACACGCACGCGCACACACACATAATTTTAAAACATCACTCATGAGTTCTATAACGTAGTAGCTCTTGGAAAATCCCCTTCCACACAGGACCTGGAGGGTGCTCAGTTCTTTGTGTCTTCAGTATATGTGTGGAACTTGGAAGTGTTTGTGAATCTGAAAAGTTGTAGCTCACTCTGCTACGTGAATGAACACTGCTGTATGTGCTAATGGGATTGAACATGCCATTCATCTTTTGATCAACCGTCTATATGTCTTTTCCTTTGACAAATTACTTTGTTTCCCTATCTTTGGAATTTCTATGTTTTTTTTCCTTACTGATCTATTCATTTTAAAATGTTTTTAATTTTTGTTTTGAGACAAGCTGTCACTATGTAGCTTTGGCTGTCCTAGAACTCACTTATAGAACAGGCTGAAATCTAGCTCAGACAGATCTGCCTGCCTCTGTGTGAGATTACAGTCACATACCAATACATCTAGTGTTGAGGGAGGCTGCTTATTCGTTTCCCAGCCGCTCAGACTCAAAATAACCACACAGAAACTATATTATTTGCAATGCTGTTTGGCCAAGAGCTTAAACATATTTCTAGTTAGCCCTTACTTCCTAAACTAACCCATCTCCATTAATCTGTGCATCACCATGAGATCGTGACCTACTGGCAAAGATTCAGCAGGCTCTGGCAGAGGCTTCTGTCTCCTGTAGCAGCTACATGACTTCTCACTGACTCTTCCTACATTCTCCCAGCATTCAGTTTGGTTTTCCCACCTAACTCTATTCTACCCTATCATGGGCCAAAGCAGCTTCTTTATTCATTAACCAATAAAAGCAACACATATATGGAAGGACTTCCCACACCATTTCCCCTTTTCTGTTCAAATAGAAAGTAAGGTTTTAATTTTAACATAATAAAATTACATATAACAAAACAGGTATCAAGTAAGAATTACAGTTATAATATTTATATCTACTTTATCTTTTATCATAACTGAAGAAAACTATAATTATAACTATTATTCAACTCCATCAAAGGTCTCAGAAGGATATAATATTACATAAGTAAACAGAAAGTACATTATAAGCAACCTTCAAAACTCTAGAATTGACACAGACATCTTGCTGCCTGAATAATCACCCAACAGTTTTCCATATTGTTGAAGCATCCATCTTCCTCCTACAAGCCAATAATATCCAACAGACTTTTCCACGAAGCAGGGAATTTCAAAGACAGTTCTACCTATATTGGAATTTTGTCAGTCACTTTTTCTGTGTCCTGCAGACTCTTTCATGAAGCAGGAAGCCCTAAGGACTGTCTCACCCCATTAGGCAGCTTCAGCAGTTTCTTGCCCAAATGGCTAACAAACTCCAGGAGGAGCCTCTTTGATGCCCATCATCCTCTTGAAGTAGCAGGAGCAGATGTGTCTCATTGTCATGAAAAGTCTTAAGTTCTTAAAACATTTTAAATGCCATATTCTGTAGTCTTTGAAAGATCTGAAGAATATCTCTCCATCTGAAATACCTCTCTGTACATCTAGAAAACCTAACTAACATGACTATAAGCTTGAATATTATGGATGACTCTCTATTGACATATATTTCTTACATTACATTTTTAATACATTGTATACATTACATTTTTAAATGAGCTGCATAAACACAATACCTTAATCAAGAGCAGAAATATACATATAACAGAATTGACCTTAAATTTATATCAATAGACCAAGATTCATACCAATGCAAAGTATTCATCTCTATAGCATATCCCCCCTTAAATGCAAACAAACATAACAATCATTTAGGGAAATTAGACATAGTTCTCTCCATACTGCTTCCTGCTTTTAGTTGGGCGAAGTAATTTTTGAGGGTGTTCACAGTGACCTTTCAGAGGATTTTGGTCCACCAAACCACATTAGTCTGGAAGGAATCCACAGGTTCTCATCCTCTGTGGAAACAAAAGAAGAACCTATTTTATAAAGCAACAAATCCTTAGACAAAATTTTGAAGTCAAGATACCTTTAAAAAATATATATTTAGCTTAGCAGCCTATACAATGAAATGTCTCTCTGTACTTAGCTCATTCACAGTAAAAAAATAAAAACTCAAAGAAAATGCAATAATATACATAATCTAGACTCTCTGTGTATTTTTCATCTTTATGTAGCTTATTTTTCTTACTCTTACTTTTTCTACGAGCTTAATATTTATTTTATAATCTTTACTTCTTTAACCTATGACTGTCTGTGCTCTTTTATAACTGTCTATACTTTTTTTCTTTCTCTCTCAAGCCTACATACATTTATTCAACACTGTGACACATTTAGAGGTTTTTTTCATCTGAATCTGTCTTTATTGCATAGTTGTAATTATTTTCTGACCAGAAGAAAATATTTTTTTCTTTTTTAAGATTTATTTATTTATTATGTATCCAACATTTCTTCCATGTATGCTTGCATGCCAGAAGTGGGCACCAGATCTCATTACAGATGGTTGTGAGCCACCATGTGGTTGCTGGGAATTGAACTCAGGACCTCTGGAAGAGTAGTCAGTGCTCTTAACCTCTGAGCCATCTCTCCAGCCCCCTTTATTCTTTTTTATTGCTAAGCAGGCGTGTCTAGGACCAACTCTGTGGTCCTGCCTGTTGGCTCTGCCCAGTCCAACATGGTGGAGGTCCATTCACTGTCTCTGAGACTGCTGGGTGGGAGCCATCCTCACCACCTCAACGCTGGTAACCAGTTGGCCCATGTTGCCACCAAGTAACTTGCACCATGCTTCCCACAAACCCCATTCAAGTGCTCAGCCTCCTAAAAAAGCCAGACTTTGTGCTGGGAAGCTGCCATTTCGAAAATGCACATTTTGTTTGTTTGTTTGTTTGTTTTCTGTTACCACTGAATCAGGAAGACCTCACTTAAAGGAGCCATGGTGCTCCTACTTGCCACAAGGAAACAAAGACCATCCAAGAAAAAAATGCTCTCTCATGTTTTATGGATGTAGTCACCCACATTGGCATCAATTTCTTGGGGGAAAGCTGCTTGTTCATTTCCCGACCGCTCAGACTCCCAAAATTATAATGCAGAAACTATATTACTTGCAATACTGTTTGGCCAATAGCTTAAGTGTATTTCTAGCTAGCTCTTACTTCCTAAACTAACCCATCTCCATTAATCTGTGCATCACCACAAGGTCATGGCCTACTGGCAAAGTTTCAGCAGCTCTGGCAGAGACATCTGTCTCCTGTGGCAGCTGCATGACTTTTCACAGACTCCGCCTACTTTCTCCCAGCATTAGGTTTAGTTTTCCTGCCTACCTCTATTCTACCCATCAAAGACTAGAGCAACTTCTTTATTCATTAACCAATAAAAGCAACATATATACAGAAGAACTTCCCACACCAATCTAGCAATAATTTAACCTTTAATTTTTATACATTTTCATATATGTGTATGGCTGCATGAGTGTCTGCCATATGTGTGTGTCAGAGATGACAGAAGAGGGCATCAGATACCTTGGAACTTGAGTTAAAGGCAGCTGTGAACCAGTTAACGTGGGTTCTGGGGACCACACTCAGGTCATCTGGAGGAGCAGTGAGTACTGTTAACTATTGAGTCATCTTTCCAGCTTGAGAACTTTAAAAGTATGTGTATGATGTGTGTAAGAGGGCGGACATGTGTGTGTGTAGGTGTTTGCATGTATGCAGACAAACATGTGTACATGTGTATGTGCATGTGTATGGAGGACAGGTGCCGTCATCCGATGTCTTGGTTTTTCTCCACTTCCTTTACCTACGGTCCCTCTCTGAACAGAGCTTGCCTAATCTGCCTCTCGGTCAGCTATGACCTCCTGATTGGAGATCAAAACTTCACTCTTCATGCTAGCATGGCAAGCGTTTTATCTAATGAGCCATTTTCCCAGCCCTCAAGAACTCATGACATATTCAAAGTCTCTTCCTGGTTCTTCTTTATTAGAGATGGAAAAATCATTCTGACCTTATCAACCATCTATAACCCTAAGAATGCTTAGTTTACTGCTTTCTCTTTTCAGTGCCAGGGATAGAGCCCCGGGCCTTGGACACAGTAGGAAGTGCTATTGCTTGAGCTTCATCCCCAGCCCTAGCTCATTGTACAGACCTTGTTTTTCAGGTACCCTAGTTTTGGGTCCCTGGACTACCATCTGTCCACTACAGGTAGCCTCTGTACATGTCTACATCCCCAGGATCAATGCATGAGTCCCCTCTACCACCTCACACCTCAGCCAGTTTTCATACCTTGCTAATTCTTACCTGGAATAGATGTGACATAACATCCCTCCCACTGCAAAAAGTCTTTCATCTCTGTGAACTCATAATCTGGTGTATTTACCCCTCCCTCCTCCTTCCCTTCTTCCTTCCTTCCTTCCTTCCTTCCTTTTGTTCTTTCTTTCTTCCTTTCTTTCTTTCTTTTCTTTCTCTCTCTCTCACTTTTTCTTCTTTCCTTCCTTCCTTCCATCTTCCCTTACTTCCTTTCTTTCTGTTTGTTTTTTGAGACAGGGTTTCTCTATGGAGTCCTAGCTCTCCTTGAGGTCACTCTGTAGACTGGGCTGGCTTCAAACTCACAGAGGTCCACCTCCCTCTGCCTCCCCAGTGATGGCATTTCCCACTTTCTTTAGTCACCACCTTGCTCATCTTCTTGACAAGCTCTTATTCTCTTGACCTGTTAGCCTTTGCATAGCCTAGGCTGGGCTTGGCCGTCTTCTGCCTCAGCATTTCAAGTCCTACAGTTATAGATGTGAGCCACCACATCTGGGATGCTGTTTGATCTTTAAAAAAAAATTTTTTTGAGATAGTCTCTTTCTACTTAGCCCTGGCTGTCCTGGTACTCATTATGTAGACCAGGCTGACTTGGAACTCACAGAGTTTCACCTGCCTCTGCTTCCCAAATGTTGGGATTAAGAATTTATGCCATGGGGCTGGAGAGATGGCTCAGAGGTTAACAGCATTGCCTGCTCTTCCAAAGGTCCTGAGTTGAATTCCCAGCAACCACATGATGACTCACAACCATCTGTAATGGGGTCTGGTGCCCTCTTCTGGCTTGCAGGCATATACACAGACAGAATATTGTATACATAATAAATAAATAAATATATATATTTTAAAAAAAGAATGCATGCCACTAAGCCAGTCTTTCTTTGGTTTTTATAGACTTGTCTAGCTATGTAGCCCAGGCTAGCCTGGAATTTACCACCTTCGTCCTTTTATCTGCAGGAATAATAGACCCAACTTGGACATCTCTTTTTAGATATCTTATGCTTGCCCTGCTCTGAATTCTTAGTTTATACCCTTTCTCTACTTTTCTCCTGGGTCACATGTTCTTTATCTGTTGATTTTCAAGATTTCCTGAGTGTGTGTGTGTGTGTGTGTTTGTGTGTGCACACCCTCTTTATTTTACCAGATATTAACTTCTCATGTACTCATGAGCATGTCTGGAGTGCACTAATATCCCTTTCATTCCAGCACTTAGAAAGTGGAAGCAAGGGAATCAAGGTTAAAGGTCATCCTTCATTACATAACTGGTTCAAGGTGAACATCAGACCTGAAAACAACCAAAACCAAGGGGATACAGAGATGGCTCAACAATTAAGAACACTTAACTATTTTTCCAGAGAAATCTAGTTTAGATCCCAACACCAACATCAGACAGGCCACAACAACCTATAATTCCACCTCCAGGGAATCTGACACCCTCTTTTGGCCTCCACAGACATATATGGGAGACACATGCACACTCATAATTTTTAAAAAATAGTTATTTTTTAAGAACAATAGTTTTGGTACAAAACTGTGTATGGATCAGTCTCGCTGAGTGGCAGAGAGGCTGGGCAGGGCTTTGGTCTTGCTCCTGGTTAACTATGTGGCATGTTCCTCAGGGACGACCTGGCCCAGCTGCCCTTCCTGACCATGTGCATCAAGGAGAGTCTGCGGCTGCATCCTCCGGTCACAATGATCTCCCGCTGCTGCACCAAGGACATTGTGCTGCCAGATGGTCGGGTCATCCCCAAAGGTGCCCTACGTATCAGTGGGAGGAGGGGTCTGGGTAGGATGGTGGTCCCCAGAAACAACGTGGACCTTTTCGTCATTGTCTCCTTACTTGACAGGGAATGTCTGTGTCATCAGCATTTTCGGGGTTCATCACAATCCTTCAGTCTGGCCAGATCCTGAGGTGTGATCCTGCCCTTTCCCCAACTCTGGGACCTGGGGGGACCAGAGCTATTACCCGGCTTTTCTATGTTTGTCTTTTCTGCGGCCAGCAGAATGTGGCGAGAGACACGACCCTTTAGCATAGTCTTGCCTGGCTTGCAGGTCTATGACCCCTTCAGATTTGACCCAGAAACTCCACAGAAGAGGTCACCTCTGGCTTTTATTCCCTTCTCTGCGGGGCCCAGGTGAGATTGGTGATCTTGGGGTAAGAGGGAGGAATCTGGGTCCGTTCGTGGGGACAGGGGACAACTGAGTCAAGACTCTGGGTCTCCTTACCGACCTTTGCGTGGGTTGTGTGCAAAAGCCTGCAAAACCCGGGGTTGCAAGGTCAAAGGCTCTGAACTCGGAGTCCTTCCCTGGTCTGAGTTGGTACTGAAGCTATGGCAGGCCCCAGTAATACCGAAGGCCATGCAGGGTCCCGGGCACATTAGTGCCCTTCTGCTCCTCAGACAGATTTGAGTTCGAGGGTGTGTCTGGCCTGGGAGTGCCTGCCTGGGTCCCGGTGCAGTCCCCACCCTGTCCTCACGCAGGAACTGCATAGGGCAGACTTTCGCCCTGAACGAGATGAAAGTGGCGCTGGCGCTCACACTGCTGCGCTTCCGCATCCTGCCGGACGACAAGGAGCCGCGCAGGCAGCCGGAGCTGATCCTGCGCGCGGAGGGCGGACTGTGGCTGCGGGTGGAGCCTCTAAGCACGGGTACACAGTGACCTCCACACCTGGCCTGGTTCCACCCCACCCACCCGCCTACCTCTTTACATTTTTGAATAAGTAGAACTGTTTTTTATGCCTGAGCGGCGGCGAGGACCAATTAAGAATTTGACCTCAAGATCCTCACTGCCTCCTGCTGATGAGTGTTCTCCTGGAGCTCAAGCCTAGACTTCATTCTATGAGAGATACCACAGGTGTTTTGTGTAGGAGAGGGGAACGTCTTTCCGGCAGAATTGAGTCTCTGTGGTCATCGAGGCAAACCCTTAAATTCACTACTATTTGGGTAAAGGCTTCATTCCATCCCCTGGCATCTGTATATCCGAAGAGTCTGGAATGTTCAGATGGAAGCTCCAAGCCCCCTTTCCTGGTGCTGCCTCAGTCCAGACTCCACCCGTGAGAAAGTCCGCCAAACGATGACCCCCCCCTCCCCAGGGATGCTCAAACCACTCCCACAGGGTATTAAAATGCCCCCCTCCCAACAAACACATGGTTTTCAGTCTTCCTTTCCTGGTCTCCTCTCTGTGGGGCTAGAAAGCCATCCCAGAGCGTGATATCTATTAAACCTGGGCTTTTCCTAATTTGGTCTGATTTGGATTATTGCGTTGGCGGAGAAGCTTATTGGGATGCAGAAACTTTCCAACTACGTTTCCACTTTTTTATCTTCTTTCGTCAAAATTAGAGCGATCCTCCTGCTTCTTCTGTCTTCTTGATGCCGCACTTACAGAAGTGGATCGCTATGCTAGACCTGACTTGATAAGGGATAGTTGTTGAATCTGAAGACGATTGTTCCTCAAGTTTGGGGAACCTTGGAACCCTGGAGGATGGTGTTAAATAATTTTCAGGGCTTGTGATAGCTAAAGCAGCTAAAATTTAAATGAAATCATACTGACAGGCTCCCCTGCTTTCTTTTGTCTTTTCAGCAACCTTGCTGAAATAGCAAGTCTCTCACTGTTTGAAGGAGTCTCTCACAAGCTTACCTTATCGAATCACTTCCGGGCTTTGACTTCTCTTCTCCCGTCCCAAGATTATTAAAACTGAAGTTCAGGGGCTGGAGAGATGGCTCAGAGGTTAAGAGCACTGGAGGCTCTTCCAGAGGTCCTGAGTTCAATTCCCAGCAACTACATACATGGTGGCTCACAACCATCTCTAATGAAATCTGATGCCCTATTCTGGCGGCACAGGCCTTTTCCAGGCAAACATGGAAACAGAACACACACACACACACACACACATATATATATATGTATACATAATAAATAAAGTCTTAGAAAAAAATTAAGCCTTGGCTTTTGCTCTAGGCATGCTTAGTATAAAAAAATAATTGAGTTTCAGTTGGACATGGTGGCACATGTCTATCCTTCCCCTACGCAGGAGGCTGAAGGAAAGGATCATTAGAGACCAATGATTGAAGTCAGCTTGGGCTACACAGTGAAATGCTGTCTCAAAGCCGGGCTGAGGTCTATTGGTAGGATGGTTGCCTAGCATGCAGGAAGTCCTGGGTTCCAACCCCAGAATCCCATAATCAGACATGGTGTTACAAGGCTAAAATTTAGTACTTGGGAGCTGGAGGTAGGAAGGTCAGAAATTCAAGGTCATCCTTTGCTACACAACAAATTCCAAGCCAGCCTGGGATACACAAGCACTGCCTCAAAAAAAAAAGTTATTGAAAATAAGAAGTTTTACCACACAGTGGTTGTGTACACCTTTAATCCCAGCACTTGAGAAGCAGAGGTAGGCCTAGTCTACAGAGCAAATTCCAGGACAGCCAGGCTGTTACACATAGAAACCCTGTGCCGAAAAACATAGATAGATAGATAGATAGATAGATAGATAGATAGATAGATAGATA